CCGGGGTGTGTGTAATGGTTGAATAGAATGACCCCCTCTAGGGAATCCCCGGCGCTGACAGTTACGTAAGGGGCTGTGCGCAAGTGCGGCGTTCAGGGAATCCGCACAGCCCGGACCGCGAAGCTCTGCGGCCCACATCGCTACCACCCCTAAGGGGACTGGAGGGGGAAGGGACGGAGTCGCCCGGCTGGCCCTCGGCTCCCACCCAGCTTCTCAACCTTCTCCCGCAGGATCTCCGCCCTTCGTGGGCTTCCGAGACCTCACTGGCTCTCGCGTGTCAGGAACTTCCTGGCCACAGCCTTATCCTGACAAACTTTACTTGGGAGCAAATCCGTTTCCTAGAGTGAGCACCGGGAGCATGCTGGACCACATTACATAATTTTTGTTTGTTTGTTTACCCACCAAATATGTGCTCTCACTGGAACCACGATATATGAAATAACCACTCCAGACCCTGCTACTCTCTGACCTTGAGTTCTTGCCCCTCGTGGCCGTCACTAAAATGGGAGGAAGACCCGAACCCTGAAGTTTAACATTTGTAGCAAAGGACTAGCTCCAACACACCTAGTAAATGCAAACTTAGGTGGTAGTTTGTTGAGGTATTCTGAGTTTAAGTGGAGGGCTTTTTTAACCTTCAAAAACATCTTAAAGGAAAATCACATTTGAGACATCGGAAAGCAAAGGACATGTTTAATTCGACATTTATTCTAAATATCTTTAATGTTAATTGGCAAAGTTCGACAGATTGATCCAGTCAGTTTAGTTTGCATAACTAATCGTGGAATAATCGTCTGATGCATGAAACCAACTAAAAACAAGCTGATTGAAGAGCAGTACTCCACTTTCACAGAATTAGGGCAGACAATTCATGTGTTTGGTCTACAGTTTGTTAAAGTTAGTTTATGGATTATTCATGGAAAACATGCTAATCAGGTCCCAAAATACTAGTGTAAGACTCGGAAAAGCCGATTCCCTTGGCCTTCATTTTTTTTTTTTAAAGGGAACAAGTTGACTTTATTCTGATCCGAGAACGCTGCGCAGTGTGAGGCGAAGCCCTTCCGAGCTGCTCCCTACCCTCCTCAGCGCCACACCAGTTCTGGCGGGCGGAGACTCCGAGGCGGCTCTTCCAACAGCAGCGCCGGGGACGCGAACATCGCCTCCACCCCTAACCCTGGAACAACCGGTAGTGGCCGTTTCCCCGCGCCGCCCCCCTTTCCGCTGGCTTTGTGTGCGTGTGAAATGTGCGGCACATTGCAGATGAACCCTAAGCCCGGCGCGCCGAGTCTATTGTTCCCCGCGAGGAGCAGCCGTGGCGGTGTGGAGCCAGGCGCAGTGCCGCGGCCGGC